CTTGCTACCGCTATTGACATCTTCAGACGAGGCAAATGTCCCTGCAGCATTATACCTCCATGACAAGCTTCATGCCAGCATCTTCTGCCAGCTTGTTGAATGTTGCAAACATCAGTTGAGCTATGAATTCATGGGTAGAACTCGCAGCTCAGGCAATAGCTTGTTGATGTAACACAGTGCAAGATTTCCGCGGCCCCTGATGCTGCAGCCAGACCCAAGGAACATTACGCCGTGAATCCATGACGCGCGTCATGAAGGTATGCTCTACCTGCTATCCTTGGCAAGATTCGTGCAATACCAGGCTTCTGGTGGATGGTTCTGGGCGTTCTGAGACAGCAAGAGCTGGCCTCAGCGTCTCCACTGCCTTTTCTTTCTGCTCCTGTTGCTATGTGCATGCAGTCCGGACAAAGTCAGAGCACAAGATAGCACAAGTACACGCAAGAAGATGCGACTCCTGGAGAGCTACTTTTGAAGCCTGCGTCAAGCGGAACGCGGACCACAGGGTTCCAAGCTCTAAGGCACGAGTGCCTCCAGCAACTCCTTCTCCTTCTTCTTCGCCTCTTCGGCAGCCTCGCGGGAAGTTTCCATCCCAAGGCAAAAGCCGCTCCAGCCGAAGCTTTCGCTTCTCAGTCTCGGCTCGAAAATTCACTCGCCTTCTTCGCTGCCTCAGCGGCCTCGGCGGCGCTCTTCTTCGCTTGCTGGAGCTCCTGCACCTGCTGGCAAGGTGCAGCTCTGCGACAGGCCAGGACAGGCCAGGCCCTTTGGCCTTCTGATTGCCCTCCATATGCAGCTCCAGAATCTTCACCTGCCGCAATCTGCCGCAGGTGAGGCAAAGTCTCAGTCTCGGCTCCCTGCCGTCTTTTCGATATCACCTCGGCCGGCAGATGCCTGCAGGACCGACAGATACCGGAGACTTCGCCAGCATCGCCCCCCGGCCTTGTGGGTCTCGGCTGCAGCCTCCGCTTTTGCGAGTTTTGCAGCCTGCACACAAAGAGCAAAGCCTGGTCTCACTCGAGCAAAGCCCGGATTTGGCCCTGGCCTTCAGCTTTTCGACCGCAACCGCCTCGCGAGCAACCGCTTCCTCCACCCTGCGAGAAAGTACTGCAAGCATACTTTGACAGGTCTGCCAGCACCGCTGCTTTGGCCTCTGGGAGGCCTGGCTGATGGCATGTTGGGCCTCAGCATGCGCTCTGCGGTGCTCTGCGGTGCTCTGCGGTGCTTCGGGCTTTGGGCCCCCAAGCCCTCATCTTCTCGGGCCAGGACCTCCTCCTCCTCCTGGTTCAGCTGCTGCTCCTTGCCTTCCGACGCATCACCCATGATCACCAATGATCACCCATGTGTTCATGTGCGACAGTGGTGCCGGTGCAGATTTTTCCAACTCGGGTCTGCAGCGCTCAGTTTTGATGGGTCGTCCGCAGACACTGTCGCCGGCTACGCCAGGCCGGCTGCCCTCCCATGCTCAAGACGCCATCACATGCAGCAACTCTAGCCAGCTGAAGACTTTGCTGATGGGCCCTGGTAGTAGGCCGGAATCCTTGCAGATTCTTGGGCATGTGACACTGATTTTCGAACATTCTCAAAAGCAGGAAGCCCCAAAAGCTCAAACACCGACAGACAAGGCACGAGCTGTTTGGCTGCATTAAATGCTCCTTCCCGGGGAAGTACATCATCTGGCGAGGAAGCGAACATGAGAGTGCATCTTGGTGCGCCTTGTGAGGGTCTGCCGGACTCTCCTGCCTGCGGTGGGTTGTGGCCCAATACGTACTTTGACCGGAGACCTCACTATGTAGGATGCATGGAGAGCAGTGCTGCAAGAGAGAAGAGAACATGTGAACTCGCACGCCTGCCCAGCCCTGACCGAACTTCCCCATGCTGGAATCCCTCGATGCTCCGAGCTCATGCCACACGTGGCCAAGGTGCAGAAGATGGGATTTGTGGACAGGTATGTAGCAGGACAATCCCGAGCCGCCGCTGCATAGAGCGCATTGGACTTCAAGTCGTGCTCCTGGTGAATCTTTGCATTCCACTGAAGGCACTTGCCCAGATCGTGCTTTAAATTAGTCTTCCTGGCTCGTCCATATTGAGGATGCTCTGATGCAGAGGGCGCTCGCACTACACATGACTAGGCCTTTCCAGCCTCTTCGCGGCTTGCCACAACTTCTGGGTGACGATCATCAAACAAATTCGCACGATCACTCACCAGATGAGGTCCTGGCCCATGGGCTTGACTACCTGAGCGGCTTTCTCATGTAGCTTCAATATGAAAGATTCAGCCCTTCCTATGATTTCGCTGTGCTCTGGCGCAATCCAACAGCAGCACAGGCACCAGTTCAAGCAATGCCAGGTGCAGCACGAAGTGAAGCACTGCGGCTCCGACTACTGCAGCGAGCAGGGAACCACCCTGCAGCAGCGAATCAGCCACTATGGCTGCTGCGGGGCCTGCTGCACACTCACCCAGCCAATGCGCCTGGAAGTAGCCAGATCCCAGAACGTCAGATTTGCTGGACATCTGGTTGGCCTCGCGGGGGCAAACAAAGCACGAGGCTTGTGATGGGCATTTGCACAGTACGAGCCCCGAGCCTTGAAAACCAATGCACCAGCGAGGATGCTGCATGGGATGGCAAACAGCTGCATGCCCAGCCAATGCACCTTTGCATAACAAGAACACACACCACCCTCAGCGAGCACTGTTGGACTGGTCGCACACTGGTGTGGAAAGGACTTGCTCCCTGGCAGGGACCCATCACAAACGAAACTGCGCCGTCACCGGAATGCCAAATAATGCAAACATGGGGCCGCAAACAAAGGGGGGCGGGCGGGAACAATCAGCGACAGCTGCTCCTATCAGCAGCAATCAGCTGCAGCAGCACAAACAAAGCGGAACGAGTATGCGAACAGCTGCAATCCAAGCAAACAAGATTGATGCGCGGGAGTCGGGAGTGTTCGGTGCTGCGCTAGAAGGGGGTTCGGGCAGCCTAGCGCAAGCAAGCCAACACACACAACCCTAAGCGCGCACGCTGGGATCGGTCACACAATGGTGCGGAAAGGACCTGACCCTTCACGCACGACACCGCTCTAACCGAGGGGTGCGACAAGTTCACGCAGATGCCGGGACACAAGTCCTCCAACCCCAAACCTATTGGGTGACCGGCAGCTGATTCTGCCACATGGCAACAGAAGGCTCAAGAGTCCCATGCAGCCCGCAAAAGTTCATCAACATCTGGCGACTGTCTGTTTGACGCACGCAAGTAATGTCAGAGACCTGGAGTTGAAAGGCACTGGGATATAAAACAGAGAGGTTTCTCCATGGATAGCATTTTCACCGAGCACGCACTCACCGCCTACACTGCAGTAGTCAGAACCCTTCAGGGAGAAACCCGGACTCCTGCACACGCAAGGTGACCAAAACGAACTTGGCCAAAGTCTCCAAGGCTGCAATGCAACGCCCACACAGCGAAACCAAGCAGGAAGGTCCGATGCTGAGAACTGCATACTAAACCATCTAGCCTGTGACAAATGGCAATCTTGTGTCGCAGCCACCCCCACGACGCACCTTGTGATTGCACGCACTGCGAGAAACCAAGTCCAGGCAGTGTGGAAGCACACAGCACTACTCCTGAGTAGCTATTCTCGAAGGCGCGTCCGAGCCTGTTCTGCAGTGTTCAGTCGCTGATGCGACGCACCGAAAGGAAGCAATGCTGCCGCGTTCAACACAGGTGCTGCAAGCGGGAAAAAAGGTAGGCTTGCGGAAGCAGGCTGTGGGCCTGCAGCTATTTCCGAAGGTGCTTTCACCCATAATGCACGCAATTCACTAAGCACTGGGTGAAACTCCCAGCATCCATGGGCGTCGTCTGCAGGCATGCAGGGGCAAGCTTCAATTCAATGAGCAGCACGGGGGCAAGCATGTCCAGATGTGCCTTCTCGTCGAATGAATGTGCGAAAACTGGCAAGGAGCAATAAGACTTGGACACCCTCTTAGCAATCTCCTCCGGCACTTGGGCGGAACCCAATGAACTTGCCCAGTCGGCATTCGTACCCATTGCTTAGCAGCGGGAAGAGAGCGCAAACCAGCGAGGCCGCGATATTCCTTGCGAAGCAAGTAACTGAACGAAAACGTTCGTGTACCTGACAGGCACACACAAGCCCACACTTAAATCACTCAGCATATATGCAAGCAACGAGACATCCCGCACTGACAGCGTACCCATGTACGCCCGGGACACCCAGACTTAGCTTGAACGCCACGCAAAACTGAGCGATGGTGATATGAAACCGGCTTGATTTGGGCCCGTACTCACAGCGCACACACGTGCACCCGGACCATCATGAACACAGCGAGATGGCTCGTACTGACAGCACACACACACACACGTGCACTCTCAACAAACTGCACTTGCAGTCAGAGTAACTGCTGCCGAACAATCAGCGACAGCTGCTTGCATCAGCAGCAATCAGCTGCAGCAGCACCAGCAAAGAGGAACGAGTATGCGAAGAGCTGCAATCCAGCAATTGACGTGCGGTGGTCGGGAGTGTTCGGTGCATGTGCTAGAAGGGGGTCCGGGCAGCCTAGCACAAGCAAACCCGACACATTTCTCTGCAATCGTTCGGATGTGTCTTGCCGTCTTGGGACCTCCGACGATCTACTTACTGGATGAAGGCCAAGTCGGCAAATAACGATCCAGCTGCCTCGTGCGATGCGCTTTACTCCATGACCTCCGCCGAGCTTTTGCGCACACACGCGTGAGAGCGAAGATCGACATGGGCAACAAAGCCACAGCACACCGGCGATGCGGTGAGCGCAGATCTGCTCACGATTCTATTCCCGGCGTAAAACACACTCGCGAACGAGCTATGGTGCTGTGTGTGTGTGCGCACAGCCGACGTTACAGAGGCGTGTTAAGTTGACATCGGCAGTTTTTTTGCATGCTTCTGCTAGCTTGCTCATTGTCGAAACCATCCGCTTTGAACACGACACAGGACTTGCGGCACTGTACAGACCCCACTACACTATGGTGAGAGTGGTGCGATGTCGCCGCTTTAATAGCCTCCTTGCTTGTGGAGCTTCCACACCAGTCCGGATGTCGCCTGATACCCAAAGACAAGCCCGCGCTCCCACTGCTACGGTGAGGAACGTTCCGTTTGTGCGCGATGTTGCCAGTCTACTGGTAGCTGTTATAGCCCGCGAAACCTACGGTAGATGGCTTGCCTCAGGATCGCTGAAGTTGAACTTGCGGACAAAGCGTAGCACCTGTGGCACATGACTTGTGGGACTATCATCATCATAGACCACCACATCAAAGTGTTCAGCAAGCTTGGGTGCGATCAGGTTCAACTAGATCCACCTTGATCTGGTCGTAAAGATAAAGGTAGCCATGCGAGAAGATCAGCCTTAGCTGGAGCATCTTGAAAGCTCCGCTTTTGTGCCCAAGCCATGTGCTCTCGAGAGGCGCAGCAAGTGTCATGCCGAGATAAGCTGGTGAAATAAAGGGGATACAGCAAAGGAGGATCACGTTGAAGATGCAATCCTGGGACAGCAGTAAGACAGTCGTATATCTTCGCCCGTCGAAACAATCTGCATCTGAAGATCGGCATATCGGCCCTGCTCCATCTCCCCCAGCTCCAGTGCCTTTCGTGTTCGATGTCATCAGGGCTCCACACTTCTGCACCTGCTGGCTTTGCCTTCTCCGCATTCTCCCCTTGGATCCTCTTGTTCGCTCCAACGATGTACCTACAGGAAGAAGGAAACTTTACGTGCAAGTACATGCTGGTAGGAAAGCGAAAAACACGAAGCTGCACAAACACGCAGGACATCTGCGCCGTCTTAACAACTGAAGCGCGCCGAGCTTATGGCATGCAACGGTCTTATTTTTGCAGCCCAAGCGCTGGGCCAAATGCTTTGGCAACCATTGAACAGCCAGAGGCTCTGCCAGGAAAGGCACAAAGAAAGTACAGGGCCAGCAGTACCTGAGCGGGTGCTGCATTCGCCGATTCATAGCCACCTGCTTTTCGAACAGCGTTGGCCTTCCCGCAAACACCTACCTTGAACCCATCACCCGCAGAAAAGCCCGATCAACTTGTCAGCGAGCGTACCAGCAAGTGCTTTGTCTCCAAGCTCGCAGAAAGCTAACTGTTGGACTTATCGACAAACTGAAGACTGACAGGACAGAGAGCCGAGTTCCTTAATGACGGACTCCATGTTTCCAATTGCCCCGAATCCCGATCCATACACAGGTTCGGCTAACCCGCTGTTCTACTTCTCCGAGGGGGCTTAGTAACATCCACCTGCTGCCACTTGCAAATGTTCAAGCCGTGCTGCACGAAGAGAAGCTTACCCACCGACTTCTGGATGGGATATGACTCGAAGATCTGCTGCAAGCTGTCCTCATACGAGGTCACGTGCTGGTAGTAAAAAGCTGTCTGCCGTAGTTGCTTAGCGGAGTTCACACACATCCGCGACATGAACCAAAGCGTCCGCGGCCAATAATCAAAAATTCGCAACGCGATCCTGTAGCGATGTCATATTAACACCATGCCTTGACATTATCCTGCACCGTGCTTTCTTAACACAACTGCCGGTGGAGCACAGACCCTTCTCCAGAACGAAAACTACAGCCACCAGGTTTGTTTAGCAACATGCCGCTTCATGAAACAGCTAGGATGGGGCTGCAAGCGGCTGGGCAAGAAAAGTCAAAGCCAAGGGTCTAGGCTGCCAAGTAAACGCCCATCTGAAGTGTGAGCGCCAACTCCCACCATCTGAAGGTAGCCTAACGGCTTCTGACAGATGGCATCCGAACAAAATCGACACAAGTCTACGCAGACAGCACCTACACCCAATGCTGACCAAGGGCTAAGGTAGGTCTGCAGAGCGATGTCCATGACCAGGTTCAATATCCTCAGACCGGAGAATTTTATGGGCAATTGTTAAGAGGGCGCCAATGACGAGCAAAGACCCCAAGCTTTGCAACGGAGACACAATGCGGCGTTGTAAAACATGGTGTAGGCCTGCCACGCCACAACTGACGTACAGAGCCCAGTGGTCAAACATTAAGAAAACCTTCCGACAGCAACGTGCCATCCAAGGACATCAGGCCATTTAGACGATGTGTGTAGGCCTTCTGCGTCTCGTCTTCGCTGTGAAAACAGGCGTGCTTGGCGCCTGGGCACTGTACACTGGCAACAGCAATCGGGATAAAGTGTGTTTCCTCAGGGAGCAACCCATGGAGCTAACCACGAAGAGCCCCAGCTGCGAGCCGACGACGAGGCCTGCGCTGGAGAGGCACTATGGGCTGCATCTATATACGCGGACATTTTTGGGAGTTCAAGCCAAGCTGCAGATGAAAAGACCTTCAGAAAACTCGCCCGGCTCATCTCCATTCGCATATGAGAAGGAAGCCATGTAGTACCTGTGCTGGGCAAGCTCTGGATGGAATCGGCTTGCACACTGGGTGTGGCATCGCAGCCGCAGGCACCCGCCATGACGAGTCCCACAAACTCCGAGAACACAGCATAAAGACTTTCTACACAAAGGCAAGCGTCGCATAGGGAATGTAAAGCAGGAAAGTCCAGACTGCGCAGGATGCCACCAGGGCCTCTAGCTGAAAAGGGTCCAACGGTTTCTCTGACTTACCGTTGTCCAGCCCAGCATCGCGGATGCCTAGCTTTGTTAGGGCTGTGAGGCGAAGACCAGTATCGCCATTCCAATTTTGCCGCTTCTCTGCGCCGGCGTGACAGGCATGTTGTGCCAGAAGAGGCCTCCACTTCACAACACAACATGACACGACGCAGCACGGTGACTTGCGAGTTTTTACACCGGGTGAAGCAGACTACCGGCATTGCCAAACAGCCAAGCAACACACTGCTACTGGCGACAGCAGTCTGATCTGAGCTGAAGGTGCTAAATGTCAGGCATGGTGAAATCTGACGTAGCCCGCCTTCGGGGGCAACCTGGCCTCAGAAACGGAAAAGTGCAAGCACGTGTAACTAACGGAATCTATATGCAAGCCTCTGCTGGCTCCTGGTGTCAATCTGCATCGGTGTTACGTGTTGCTACTGGTATGCAGCCCGGTAGCATTCCGTCAAGGAGCATGGCCGTCCTGGAGGCGCACGAAAAAACACGACAGTTTCGGCATGGCCAAGCATGCCCCAGGCCTCCCACCATGATGCCGTCTCTCGCAGTCTGGAGGACGGCCTGCAACCGTGTCTCCTGCACAAGCATGGCCAAACTTCTGCATGCTGGTGTCGGAAAGGAAGAGATGCCACAGCTCAATCGACGGAACGGATGTCTAGATCCTATTGGGCTACCAAACTCTCTGTATACAGGGACGGCATGCTAGGCATGGCCAAGCGTGATACCCTTTGTCAGTCTACTACATGGAGAATGAACTTAGTGAAAGTTGTATAAAGTTGTACTCTCCAATCAAAAATGTGGCGAGAATCTTGTTCAGCGGATTGACAGTTGTACTGTTTTGCGACCTTTTGAGATTGCTCCAGGTTGATATTTTGACAGCAACAGGGTTGAGGCGTGCAAAACAAGTCGACAGTTGTCAGGCTTGTTGTGTTCTGCGCAAAGGCCGAGCAGCCAAATGTGTCAGACAAGCCCAGATCACCTTGTCCGTGTCCCCTATTTCCTGACCCGGGCGTCGCGCAAATCAACAGGTGCGATGCCGTCACCGACCGAAGATGCCTAGCCAAATTGTTGCGCTGATGCCCAGAGCCCTGACCATGTGCTGTCACTCCTTTTGACAAACATGACGTTTGGCACACATGCGGATGACAATGGTGTTGTCACCGACTTTACGTCCATCTTTGCGTGCCTTCAGGCCAGCAAGTTAGGTGGTGCATTACACTATGACAAACCCAGCTGCATCTCACGTCAGGTGCTGCGCCAGCTCGTCCTCGGGAAAAAGACCTGGCACCTGTACGACCACGGCTATGCCTCGTCCACGGCGTGCGTCCGAGTAAGAGCTCCAGGCTTTGTCGCTTTTTCGCTGTGGTGGCCCGAAGCTCCGCTGGCTTTAAGAGGGCCCTCTCCGGTGAGACGTCGTTCCTACCGGGGCGGTCGTGCTAGTGGCTGCGTCTCTTCTGCAATGAGGCCGACCCTGAACCAAAAGCTTCAAGACCTGCTTCAAGTTCTCGACTTCTTTGTCATGATCTTCTGCATTTTATACCGGACTTCCGAGCCCGATCGCCTGATGTTTCCCAATCGTGCCATGCTCGATGTGCATACTGCGTCCCGGCCAAAAAACTGTGGTTGCGAGATGCTCAACATTCGAGCGAGCAAATGCTTGAAAACGTCGAATGAACCAGAGCACAAGTTGAGCATCTGCAGCACTTATCAAAACAACAGCTGATTGACTGTTGGAGAAGTTCTGAAAGTTTCGACTCCGACAACCCCCGAAATCTTGCAAAAGTTAAATTTTCACCATGCAACCTAACATATGCTGCAGTTTTGGAACGTAAACACAGGCGAAATCTGCAACCGTTCAAACATGCAAACCATTCGATACATGAGAATGTTGAAAACTGCGCAGCAAATCTACGAGGAGTCTGGGATTCTTTCACTTTTTTAGAGTTCATATCTGTGAAAGTTTGAACCTCATCTGTTTTTTCATGCTTTTAAACATAGACTTGATGAAGGCGGGAAGGTCAAACGGTACACGAAGAATGTGTTCATGTGCGTTCGTGTACATGTGCATCTGTGTTTCGTCCCCGCAACACAAGGTCTCACCAGGAGTCTTCGGTCCCATCCTGTGAAGAGAAGACCACGTATGCTGTAGATGTCGAAGACCTGAACAAGCAAAACACTCCGGTTTGCCCAGGCTCTGTCACGATGGATGGACTCTCGATCTCTCTTTCTTTCGCCAGGGTTATGGGCCAGGGGATTGCTCCCCTAACCCGCGCGCTAGTGCGCCCCCGACAGTCGCGGAGGGAGGCGGAGAGACGCACAAAACACAACCAAGGCCTCTGGGCTCAATTGGTTGAGAAAGCAGTCTCCACACGGCCACTTGTTGTAGGGATTGTAGGGAACATGTCTCGATCTCTCCTCTCTCTCTCTCTCTCTCTCTCTCTCTCTCTCTCCAGGGGCAGGAGGAAACAGCGGTCCAGCTGTCCCCTCCGCGCGCGAACGCGCACCCGCGGTTCACGGGATTTGTTCGTATCCCCTATGGGGTTCGCCCATAGAGGCTCAGCTATACAGGAA